TGGGAGACAGGGAAGCAGGGAGGGGAGGGAAGGGGGGTTGCGGTGGCGGCACCCCCCTGCCGCCCAGCCCTGACACCAGCCGGCAGAGGGGGCGAGGCAGCGGGGAGGGGATGGGAGGCAGGAGGAAGCCCTGCTGTGAGGCAGGCAGGCAGGGATAGGGAGCCCCAGCACAGGAGGTTGAAGGAGAAGGTGGTGGATGGAGTCTTTACATTGCCAGCCCCAAAGGGTGAGTGGGGGTGGGGGGAGGTACCTTCTAAACACTCCCTAAAATCTGTCATTCTTGATGGGCAGTTAGCTAGTATGTATATAATAGCACTATGATATTGAGTGTTTGGTTCTTTTCTTTTTTTTCCTATAAAGGGTTACACAGACCTAACTAGCTATATAAATAATTAATGGTAACAGTAATACAGACTTTCATAGCCTTGTACTTTCTTTTGAATCTAGTCCTATTATGGGGTTTAACAAAAGTGGATGTCTCACTTATTTTCACATGATGCTGTGTATGTGTTCCTCTCATTAGCCTCCTTTGCCCGTAAAGGGCAGTTAGTTTGTTAGCAGTATGTTCTGCCTTCAGAGTCTGTGAATAGCTCTTGTTAGCGGTAATGGAAGTAACACAAGTACACTGTTGTAAGAGCACAGACATCTCAGTCTCAAGTGTGTTGGTTGCCGCCTTGGCTGGGTCTCATTACACTAGGAAGTAATTTAGTTTGTGGTATTCTTTTTCTAGCCCTTTGTAACTGGCTTTACTCTGTAAGGGGCTGTGCAGGTGTTACCAATGGAAAAAATGTTTTTCCCTTTCTCTCTGTAGCAGAAACGTCTTCACCATCTCTCCCTTTGTAAAGATGGACTGCTGTTGTTGCTTTCCCATCTCATCTGAATGCCCTTAATTCAGTACGACAGGCTGTTATAAGTGAGGGGAAGCTATATTTAGATTGTGAACGCAGTGCTTTTGAGCACTGTCCTTGATTGGGGGGCAGCTTACCTCTTTCACTGGCATGCATTACTTTAAAACTCAGTTTCTTCCTTTACTCTGTTTTTCTCATGCCATTCTGTGGCAAGTGAAATGGACAGTATTTGGTTCAAAATCTTTGGTCTGTCCCAATAAATATAGAGAGGTAGTTAGCTGTGTTAGTCTAAAGTCAGATAGAAGGCAGAGTAGATCTGCACCTTATAGACTAAGTCAGAGATATATGATGTGAGCTTTCATGAGTCTGGGCTCACTAAATCAGATGAAGTGAGCTTGAGCTCCCAAAAGCTCATGCTATAAATCTCTGATTTAGTTAATCCATGAGGTGCAAATCTAGCTTGCCTTCTGCCAGTAAATATGGTTGTCTGGAATTGTATGTACTTTACCCTCTTGGGCATGGTTTGGTGCTCAGAGCACAGGACTGGAAGTTGCTTGTCTGGTTCAGGTGTGGGATATTTTCTGTAAAGGACTTTGAAACCAGAAGTTGTTGGATAACAGTATCCTTTCATGTGATGAGCCAGATTGTACCTTGTGACCTGTGGGGAAAAGGAATTATCCACTACATACGAATCTCTCCTCAGCCTTCTTTGGGTACTATTTGTTCTTCCTCTAGAGCAGGGGTTCCCAAAGTTTTTATGCTGTGGCAAACCGCGGCCCAGCAGTCACAGCTGACCATGGCGGGAATTTCTGGCTGGAAGAAATTTCTGCAGCCGGAATTTCTGCCTGTGCTGCTGCGGGCCCTGCAGAAGGAGCTGTGGCCTCTCTGCCTGGCTCTGGGGGGCTGTGGTTTGCCGGTCTGTGGCCACTTCTGGTCCAGCAGCCCACCTCTTGTGGCCTGGTACTGGGCCATGGCATGGGGATTGAGAACCTCTGCTCTAGAGCAGTGGTCTCCAAACTTTTTTGATCACGCACCACTATCAGTAAAAAAAATTTTGAGCACGCACCCCCAATATATGTATATTTATATAAATATAAATAGAAGTTCTAATATTTCTTCCTGCACCCCAATGGATTGTCTTGCGTACCCCACTTTGGAGACCACTGGTCTAGAGGACCCCATATAGGGTTCTCTGTGGAGTAGGGATGTGTGGGGGAGGGGGGACCCCAAAATGAGTGAGATAAAAGGATGCATATCATTCCTTCATGAACTCATAACAACTAGCTAGGAAAAATAAGGCAGCCTCCACAGAGGATGGGGGACTACTTTGAAGGGTGGGACAGGAAGCATCTCTCCTAAGTCTGTAATGAAGCATGGGAGCTATACAACCACTGACCTGGGTTGGCCTTGTCTTTGACAGGGCCCAGGGAGGAACCAGTGGCCTCTGCTCCTTTCTGAGAGCTAAGGGGCCAGTGATGAAAGACCAGTGAAAAGATCTATGAGGGATCCTCTTAGAGTCTGTAGGGTTTTTCTGACTTGTAGTACTCTCATGTGTAGGAGAATCCGACTCTGTGGGGCTGGCCATATGCCATTCACCAGGGCCATGGGTTGTTTCCACACCAGTCATCTGGTACATGGAGCTAGATGAATTTGACATATCTGATATATGGAATGCTAGTTTTCAGCATCCATGAAGAGCTTTGCTTTTCCATCAGGCCTCTTCCTTTCTGGACATATACTGAATCTGTTTAATCAATCCAGAAAAACTTGTTTCAAACTACTATATCTACTTGGTAACTGCCAGTTCCATTTATGCCTCAGGATGTATATCTTTGCACTGTGCTTTTGAGTGACTTACAATGTGTATTTCATTGATGTAGACAGTGCCTGTTAATCTTTTTCTTTCTATCTATAAAAGATGAGACGCATGTGTGTGTATGTCCAGGAAAACTAGTGTATATTAGAAATGATGCTTGATATTTTCTTTGGGACCCTCATGTGGTTTGTTTATTCTTATGTGTTTCAAATTACAGAATTCTGCCTGCTAAATGGACAACAAGGAGGTTTTGAAAGAGAAGACACAGCAGGCTCTTCTTACCCCCATTCAGTGCTATTCAGAGACACCTCCTTTTTATATCAGCCAGATGCTGTTGATAGTGTGAGACATTCTGGGGATGAAAATACTATTCCAAGTGATGCTTCCTTAAGTGTATTGAAACAAGGTATTACCAGAAATACTTTATTTGATTGCACTACACTATATTTCTCCCTTATATTACTAGTTAAGCAGTTTAATAGAAGGAGATGTTCTTGCAAAATTGTACATAGAAATTGCTGGCACATTTGAATAGCCACTATCAGGAATTCCTTGGTGAACACTTAGAAACAATCAGAAGACATTTAGCACTGAAATGAACATATGCGGAGAGCTGGCTATACCCTCAAAGCATATGGAATGCCTTTTTGTAAACAAAATCTTACATATTTTTACTTTTGCATCAATGTTGTTATATTCTAGCTACGTTGCATAAGATTCATAGTGATTTATGTCTTTACTTGTTTAGTAATAATGTGAGAAATGCATATTGGGTATAAACATTCTCAATATAGCTTATATTTCTGAAAACACAACCCTCTTTTTCTTCTCTGTGAATCTCATTGTGTTCTGAGAAACTTGGAAGAAATTGGAGGTAAACAGTAGGGTTAAATTCCATTGTGATTTAAATGGAAGTGTAAATTACATGCTGGTAAGTAGTGTAAGTGGCTAGGCATAACTTACTGACTGAGGTGGTGAAAGGTGTAGGATTGTAGCAAGGAAAGCAACCAAAAGCGAGGAGGAAGATAGGGTAATATAAAGCAAGCCTCCAATCTTTATATTGCATCTCCTGTTGATTCTTACTGCAGATCTGTCCTTATGTCCATTTCTACGATGTGGTGCTTTTTATGCCACCTATGAATGTGGCCCTGCATTCACAGCTTAGTCAATAGACTAACTGTGACCAAAATAGCCATTTTGTTGACTGGAATAAAACATACATTTCTCCAGTTTAGACTTGAGTGAGGGAAATAAATGCATCTCTTTGTATGGCCAAATAACACTTTTGTGTGTGAAGGATGGTTACAGGTCACTGTTGTTTTTTTAGCTTAAAACCCCACTGTCCCTATTGTTCTTACAGATTTGTCGTTCTGCTTTATTTGATTGACTTACTCTCTTCACAAAATGGTTTTAAAAACTGTTATATTGAAATGGTTTAGAGTTAGTTACCCCTACAGCATTGTGACAATATTTGATTTTGTAATTATATGCTTGTATTGTATGTAGAGGCACTACTGTAATTTCAATAGCTTTATTATTTTTATGTGAAACATATATTTTAAGGGGCTGTATTTCCTGTGTGAAGGGAATTTATTCTAAAAATAACATGAGGCATCTCCAACCACTAAAGTTCTGCTGATGGGTGAAGTAAGTGTTGGCTTATTGATAATTAGTAGTCATAAAACATCCTGGCTTCATGCTTCAATTACACTGTGAAGGATGGAGTCCAGTGAGGTCTCTGTGGAGTTTCTAATCTATGCATTGTAATAGATTAAATATTTTAAATAAGAATAAATGGATCCTCTTGCATTTTATGAAAAGATGGCTTTTTTGGTCAAAGAAAAGGGTATACATGAATATTTAATATAAATTCTTTTAAGTCTGTCAAAATACAAGGACAATAAGAACTTAGCATCACCATCTGAATTTTTAATTCTGAATATGAATTAATACCACTAGGCTTGGTAAGTGATAGAGTTAGACCTTAATATGAACCAGTTAAGAAATAAAATCCATTGTCTGAGATGTAAGATTAGGTAATAGAAATATATATTGTGCTTAAAAAGAAACATTCTTTGCAGACTTATGAACAGATTTCATATAAAAAAAAAATTAATACTGAATGTTAATTCCTGATAGTGTTTATTTGCATTGACAATTAACTGGGAGTGATCATTATAAAGCACATTTGGAGTCAGATATGTCCCAGTATTTCATTATGAATTATACAGACAGAAATTACAGTATTATGCTGTGGTGATTAAGCAGGTAATCAAGTCTCTCAATTTATCTGCTTTTACTGGCATTTGAAGGAGTCATGAGTTTAACAATATACTTCTTTATTGGAAAGGTATATTGGTGTTAAAAACCCAATTCCAGCCTTTTGTGAAGCTATCAGATGACAAGCAAGGGGCTTTATATAAAACCCTCTATGAAATCTTGTATCATGATGAACTGGTGACTGTACTGGAGGATATGGTAAGATGACAAGACTTTTTAAAAATTATTTTTAATAGAGCTGATACTGTCCATTATTCAAACTTTGTTTTTTTATAAATTAGTTTTTTAATTTGTTCCTCTGCTTCCAGGTAAATAATATTTGTATGGGTGACAAACCAAAGTTGATGGAACTGAAAGAGGTAAAACCTGAGCAGCAGCAAGATGTAGCAGACTTTCTGCAGCTGGTAGGGTACAGTTTACAGAATGGGCTGTTGTTACAGGAAGAGCAAAGACTCTTCTCAGCTGCTCACCTCTTGATCAGCGCTGTAGCAGGTATGTCACAAATGGAGCAATTAGTAACTTTTCCATTTAGAAGTTTCCCTGGTGTAGAGTTTATATGTTTTCCTTTTATGTAATTATAACAGTTTTGACAAGTTATGTAATTCTCTTTCACTCTGATAGAGCTGTGATTGAATGTAGGAGTTCGTAATTTTGGCTAAATATTAAATTAAAACCTCAATCTCTGCATATTTTTACAAGTAAAATCTGTCATTCCCATGGAAATCACTTCACCCAAAGGTCCATTGAACCCAAACTTTTTCATTCCGTTTTATTAACTAATTATTGTTCTCATTGTGCCTTGGACTTTCCACATCTCATCCTGGCTAAAGATTGTGCAGTAGGTGCTAAATCTATGGCTTATGTTGTTGAATACAAACTATATTTAGCAAAAAGTAAATTTAACACATAGACATTGCAATTAGAGGGATGGTTGTGCAGCCACAGAAAAAGGAAATTGAACCCAAATGTCAAACAAATGCTATCTTCACAATGTACTTGGCACCACAACATTAATTAAAAACCACCTGCAAATACAAATCAGTCTTTTTTCCCCTTCATCTCTCTTGTATTAAAAAAAAAGCTTCATTACATTAAGGGAAGTATTGAAAGGAAGCACAGTGTTACAGTAGGTAAATAGGTAAAACATTTTGCACTGTAGAATAGGGGTGCACCGAAAGAGATTTTGGGGGCTGATACTGATAGCTGATTTTTAAGGAGGCATATCGGCCAATACTGATCCAATTTCCGATACCAGCCTGGCAACTTGAAGAGCTGCAGACAGCTGGTAAGTCTGTTGTGGTGTAAGGGGAGATCAAGGCCCCCTGCAGTGAGGGAGGGAGTGGAGCTGGGGCTCCCCAGGTGGGACAGGGTGTGTGATGGAGCCACGGCTCATCGCAGGGGGGCAAAGGGCGGGGTCAGTTCCTGCCATTGCGCACACCCCAGGAGAACGTGAGGGCATGTCTCCACGTCTGTGTGGGTTGTGGGCCGGGTGGGCTTAAGCTGTGGGTTGATGCTGGGGCTGTGCCAGGCTCTTCCTGGTACACGGGGGGAGAGGGGGTGG